TTTGTATTGAATTTATTTTCATTGATTTTTGACAAGTTGAATGTAAAATATAGAAAAAAGGGTATATTCTCTGGATTTGATTTTATCTGAAACATTCCTTCAGCGAAAATAGCGAAGAAAAGTTGCAAGCAAAAATAAAGTATTTTATAGTAATTAATTTATTCTGAGCATGCACAGTCGTTCTGTCAATGTTGCTGGGAGAGGTAATTTTTGATGAAAATCGTGAAAAAGACCCACTTGGGACATTTGACAAAACCTGAATTATAAAGTCCCCTTTTCAGGCTGCGCCTGAAGGGGGACTAATAAGAAAAAAGTGCAGAAATATTAGGGCAAGTCTGGTGGTGTAAAGGTTAATGTCTCCACCATGCTATTATTTGTTATGCTGTATAACATACATAATAAAGAGGTATAAATACAATACAAAAGTGATAATAACTTACAATGTATTTATCAAATAATCTTTTGACTTGTACCAATGAGTTAGCAAGTACAACACTCAGAAAGAGGCTGGTTTCCTTATCACGTACAATCATAACTTCGTGTCCAATACGTACTAGCATATACATGGAATAACTGAAAGAAAGAATAAAATAAGCTGCCTTCAATCTACAGGGTGAATACACTGGACTTTATTCAATATTTCATAGATATGAATCATAATTCAAATTAAATATGCGATACTTACAAATTATCAATTTTATCTGCATATGCTATGAATGTTTGAAGTTCTCCTTCTAGATTTTGAAACATTTCACCCATCATACGCCTGGCAAGAAAACAAAAGAACATCCATATCAGGCGACATTTCACCCATCATATGCCTGGCAGAAAACAAAAGAGCAGCAAGAGAAAGACTTTTGGTTTCCCTAACAGAATGTTACAATGTATTAAAAATTTTGTAGTGTGGGTTTGATTTCTTGTTATTTCAAAACATCTGCTACAGTACATGTATGTGGCAGATTGCAAGAAATTCCTAGAAACAAAACAGCAATGATTTATTTAGTAATGTATATTGATGTCACAATCAAAAAATGTAATAATCTCACCTGACTTCATCATTGGCTTTTTTGCTGAAAGAAGAAAAACAAGCCATGCATGGCACAGTTATCGAATTATAGTTTTGTTTATAGTAATATAGCTGGAATATAACCATGTCAGGAATAGGATTATGATGATTGTTTAACATTAAAATGATTGACATTTGTATCTGATTGGCAAACGAGTACTTGTCCACATTGAGAGATATTGCTCTGGTACAGCATTAATTAAAACACAATCAAGCCATTTTGAATACATGTACATGAGTATATATCTATAAACATAATGTATAATAAATATATAAAATTTGAACATAATCAGTCAAAGCATGTCAGAGATGCATAAAGGTCCTATAATGTCCAATGTATATACAAGGTTTGAACAAATCCATCTGTAAACAGCCAGGAAATGCTTGATTTTGATGATTTTTTAGCACAAAAATGGCCACCATTTGGCCATTTTTAATAGGATCGTCAAACTAATATATCTGTATATCTATGATATGATCTATAATGAATATTTTGAATTTGAACATAATCAGTCAAAGCAAATCAGAGATATAGCACTAGAACCACATTCATTAAAACAAAATGACCGCCAGTCAACCACTTTGAATCTTATATGAAAAACAAAATGATGTGCATCAAGGTCCTATAATGTCCAATGTATATACCAAGTTTGAACAAAATCCATCTGTAAACAGTCGAGAAATGCTTAATTTTGATGATTTTCAGTTAAAAAATGGCTGCTATTCGGCCATATTGAATCAGATCGTGAAACAAAATGATGTGCATATGTATAATATCATGTATGATGTATGTGTGAAGTTAGATTATGATTGGTCCAGGCATTTCTAAGATACAGGTCCGGATGCACAGAGTCAAA